ATTTGCTCAAGCACTGCAAAAACTGTAGACAAAAGGTAGTAATATTAGCTTAAAATATTTCAATACTTCTACCTACTGACGAACCACTCATTCTCCGCTTGCTCCTGTTCCTTGCAAAGCAAATGCAAACTGTTAAACCCGATGCCCTTCATCAGGTAGGCTCCCAAGCCAAGAGTCGTGCCACCACCACTGGAAGCCACGCACCGCAGGGTAAAGGCCGGCGTGGGGGAAGTGGTGGCAATAGCTGTAGCCAGCACTGTCATCAGAGGCTCCGGCTTTTGGAACCATGCTCTTACTCTGGATCCGGATGGAGGCTGCAGCTGTACTTGGTTACATGAGAGAATGTAATTGTCCTTAAATTGCATGAAATTAAAGATGGCAGTTACACCCTTCACCTTCAAAGAGATTTTAATTTGATCCATCCCACCAGCAAGTACATCTGTACATAGCCATTCTGGCATATTACTAATGTGTTTAATGGCAATAAACAAAGCCATGTGTTTTACATTAAAACAAAGAGCATGAGATCTTGGTTACATGGCAATTAATAATTTCAATGGAATTTTATTTCAGCCTGGTATTATCTTCTGGGTCATACACATAATCACAAGATACTCCTTCTCTATGTGTCCGAGAGCTCTCCTGTACATTAGATGCCCTATTATTAATTTAACCAATAATTTCTTCAGATACTATTAAAAATTGTTTTGGGATGCTTGTGGTAGTGAGAATAGTGAGATTCTTTTTCAAATCTTTCACTTGTAAAGAATTAACCTGAAGTGATTTATTGCTACTACCATTTAATATACCCTCTATATTTATGCAGGACAGCTGCACAACTTAGGGTAAATTATTACACCTCTAAAAATCATTCGTAGTTCAAAGATTTCTTTGTTACTGAGCACGAAGAAGAATATTAGCTAGACACTGTGTTAAATGCATAAATAGACTCAGCTGACTTAGCGAACATGTGACTAGCACAGTACTGCTCAGAAATTTCTTGTAAAGTATAAGGTATGAAGCCAAAAAGGAAGTATAACGCAATATGTTCTTTAAAGTTATAATGGAACATATGAGAAAGAAAACACAATGCAATATGACTTACTCTGTAACTAGTCTAACCAGAAAAAATAATTATAGTCAGCTCTCCATTAATACTGGGTGGATTATCAAATTTGGAAATAAATTATGCTCAGGATGCACAACAGCTGCCTTGTTTCCAAACAGGCCAATTAAAGCTGGCAGGGCTTACTAACTCACGCACAGCATCATCCAGGTTCAGCACTGCTGCTTCCAGCCCTAGCTGGCGCTGGGCAGATAGGTGGAAAAGCACTTGGGCAAACCTGGAAGCATGGCACCGAGACCCTCCAGTCCTGCAGAAGGCACAGTCCCCAGCTGCCATCTCACACCGGGGTCCCTTCTGTCATGTGAGAAAAGGCAGTCTGGGGAAGACCATACTTGACTGGCTGGTTACCAAGGGATATTCCTGACCAGCCTCAAACAGGAACAAGACTGTCACACGTAAAACCCCAAATTCAAGTTTGAAGATGCACTAATTTCTGCAAAACTGCAGTAGTACCGGAAGATTTTACATCACTTTGCCAAGAGATTCATATAGCAGACAAATCTCGAGCTTACAGATCAATCCAAACATTCTTCTTCTTTCCTTTAAAATTGTTCATTCTCTCAACTATGAGATTTTTGGGTTATATTCAGGCTTTTGCTGGAAGGAAGCACCATCTTTTCTTAGAAACAGTACAATTAGTTCATGTAATGAATTACTTCATACTCAATGCTCAATTATTTATTGATTTTATGTGATACTATTAATTCTTACTAGTTTTATAAGCAGTATATATCAATTTCATTTTGGCCATTCCAGGGTTTTTACCTTAAGTTTTCACATTCTAAGAGGCATTTATCTTAACACAATCATCTGTAGGTTACAGAATACGCACATAAAAATTAATTGGTCTGCTTACTGAAGTGTTCTCCAGCTCAGTTCATACTGCCGTGACAGGTTTTTGAACATTCAGGCGATTGATTCTAGGTACTGTGTCTGCCGTTTCCCTACTCTCTTGCCACGTGTACAATGTTCCCATTAAATTTGACTTTGAAGAATAGCTATTGGAGTGCTTTTCACTAGCAAGACTTTTTGTAGTAACTGAGTATTGCATTCAATACCCAGATTTAGAAGACAGGAGCTGAAGTGTTGTTAGTCTGCTGCTAGCACTGCCCAGTGCAGTCAGTATCTCCTGGACCACACAAGATAACTGCCCTGCCACTTCTCTTCCAGAAGGGGATAAAATACTGTGCAATGTAAAGCTACTGAGACAGCTCTGAAGAAACTGGCTTGGGTACCAGATGCAGCATAGGTACCACAGAGTGCCCTAGAAGCATGCGACCTGCAGTGGGACCGGCCAGGCTGCTTCCAGTGCGCTGCCTAAGCCTGGCAGCCCAGCACGGCAGCACTGGTGTTCTGCACAGAAACCCATGAAACCCAGAGACAGCATCTTCTCATGTCAAAGGCTTAGACACCCCCTACCCAAAGGTCTGCCTATACACAAAGGTACCTAATTTTTGTATAATGTCACTACTGTTGTATGAATAAATTGTTGAAATGTTTGGTGGTAGTACTATGGGTTATTTTAATTATTTTAGAAATATTATTTGGAGTTATCAAGACTGAAGAATAATCCTTGAGACCTAATAAAACATGGTGACTGGGAAATTAATTGCAATTATCAGTAATACAAGGAAAAGGTAATTTCAATTATTAGTAGGCAAGATTTTTTAATATTTTTTTAATTCAAAAACCACCTGGACTGTGTTGGGAAAGTTCAATAAAAATGTTTTGATCACTATAAATAAGCAATCCACCAAGTTCATAGCTGTGTAAGGAATGATGCAAAAAAGAATGACAGATAGTAAAAGCGTCACCCTTCAGTAGTTACTGAAGTGTTTTTTGTTTTATTTAAATAAAACTAGTAGAACCTGTTCTGGAAATAGCTATCCTCAATTTTGGAATGACAACAGGCTTCCACACTTGAACCTTAGACTAAACAAAACCATCAAGGGGAACAAGATAAGACCTTAAAGGTTATAGCTCTTGGGAGGGAAGACAATGTGAAATAAAAACACAAACCACACCAATGTTTTCCTGGTGAAGGAAATACTTCAACCCAATGGGGAAGAGCTGTTGCTGAACTATTTCAAGACTAGAGGAGGAAAGAAAAGGGCTGAGTTGTAACAGAAGTATTTGGGAAATGTTAAAAAATGCCCTGAAGCTACTTTAACAGATACAGAAAACCTGATAAAGCATGGTCTTCTCTTCCTCAGACAATTTCAAATAATGTTTTCAAAATCTCTGAAGAAAGAAAAATAAGACACTAACACAGACTGACAAAATTAGCTCAGAAGTGGTCATGGATTCTTAAGGCCTAGCTAATGCCTTACATCATATTCTCTAGGCAAAAAAAATTTCTCTGAACTCTTTCCACCATTCTAAAATTCTCTGAAATAACATTATTATGATAAAGCCATATCTATTTTTGTTTTCTCATTACGTAAACATATACTGTCATACTTGGTATTTTTGGTATTAGCCAGTGATTTTTATTATTACTCAGTGTCTTTATTCAGGCAGGAAAAGTGGACTGAACGTGAGAACTGTGTTCTTACTCAAGGGCCTGGAACGGGGAGTCCAGCTTCAGCACCAGCGGAGCAAAGTCATACCAAGGCAGGCTTGGCACATTGGGTTAAAGGTCTTATCACGAGCTTCAGAAGCAATACCAATCAATGTCAGACCCACAGAAATATCTTAGCCAAAATTACAGGGTTCAGTGATCACTTCTCATACATAATTAAAGCAAACAAACATCCAGCTGATCTGCAAAACTTTCCTAAGGCCACCTGCTTGTGTACAGTCTTTTAATTAGCAAAAAAAATCTGCATTAGCAATCACCTTTCTTGCCATATAAAATGTTAACCATTGTGTAAGAATGGCAGAAGTGGAAAAATCCACTGGGATTTAGATGCACTTACTATAATGGAAAAACAAGCCAATGCTAATGTTTGGAGTTCTTTTACAACTCAAGCTGCATTTTTTTTTAAATTTTCTTCTATTAAAAGAGGGAAGCAACATTAGTTTCTTCAAAGACAAGAATGTCGTATCAATTTACAGCCAATATTTTTGTTTGCATATTGTTTGATTGGCAGGATTCTTCCTAAACTCTTGAGAAATGTTTTTTTCTTAAACAGGATTCTGGTTTTGAGTATCTCCATTTTTGTCTTGAGTCACACTGGAATGACAAAAGCTACAGCTGACAAGCACGAAGCAACTGATCTGCGTGCGGATCAGTAACTCCGGACTTTTAGAGAAGCTGAGGCATCCAAAAGCGGTGGCCACCCTTCAAAAACACGAACATAATGAAACACAGATCAAGCAAGACTCTGCTTACTTTGAAAACATTAGCTTTGTTCAACTAAGCATCTGAATTAACGTCCAAATGCTTAAGTTATTAAATGCAATTAGGACGGCAGTCAGGAAGTAGTAAAACATTGCTTTGTACACGAAGAACCAGTAACTTAAAACGCATCCCTCCTAACCCCGCAAGTGTAGCGATACGGCTGAGTGGGGATCGACCTGCCTGGAGCACTCTGCGGTCCCATCGTTTCACTTGCAGAGCTCTCCATAAACAAGAACGAATGCAGACGCCACAAACGAGGGCCGCTCGTAAGCAGGCCCATCTTAGCCAGCGGCTGCACTGGTTCTAGAAAGTGGCGGAGGCCCAGGGGGGCTTCTCCGAGCCACCCGGGGCTCCGGCAGCCCGGCTGACCCCGCCAGCAGCACCC